TATCTATCTATCTATCTATCTATCTATCTATCTATCTATCCATCCATTATCTATCTATCCATCCATCCATCCATCCATCCATCATCTATCATCAACATCTATTTCAACATTTCTCAATCTTGACAATTTTAAGGTGGGTGGGCTTCAACTGCAACTCCCTGTGTGGGCTGGGGGATTCTGGGAGTTGAAGTCCACCCACCTTAAAAGTTGCCCAGGTGGAGAAACACCGATCTCGCTGTCATCTATGTAATCATAACGAATAAAGGCCACCTATATGCCATCCATCTCGCATAGAGTCGATTCTAGGCTGCTCACAACCAACGAAAGCAACAATAAATATTATTTTTAAACTGACATTGATTTAAAAATGGACAAAAGTGAAAAGGAAAGGCACAAAAAAGCACAGGGGGAGAGTGGGTGTGTGTGTGGGTCTTATCTACCTGTATACCAAAGAAAATTGCCTGCAACGTGTAAGGTATGAGGATAAAAAAATGCCAATGGATTCCCGTTGCTTTTCTTAACCTTCCCTGCCTTGGAGGGGCCGTAGCCCGCTCGGCCTTCTCCGGGTGGGAGAGCGGCCCCCTCATTCACTCCCTCCCTCCCTCGGCTCGGCCTTTTGTGTCCAGACGCTGCTCTTCCCTGGTTCCAGTGGCTTCTCCCCACCATGGTCTTCTGGATGATCAACCTGCTGATCGTTGGCGCCGCCTTCGTCCGGCTTTTCATTTATGGCGAGCCCGTCACCCGGCCCCACTCGGAGTCTTCGGTCATCTTCTGGAGACACCGCAAGCAGGCGGACCTGGACTTGGCTCGGGTACGTGACTCCGGCGGAAGGAAACGCAGCGCTGGGTTCAAAATCCAGCAGGGTCGACGCTTTGAATCAAGATAAAGAAATGAACTCAGAGAGTGGAAATAAAGGGACGGGGAGGTTGACCTGCAGAGGTTGAGGAAGGTCTTGAGATATCTGCCGTTACTTAACCCCGTCCTTAACTAAGTGGGTGGGGGGAGGCCTCTTCACCCTACAGGGCAGCCCTCAACTTGCAACCAGAGTTGGGAGAAAGAAAGGCAGGTGTCAGTCACACCCAACTGTACAACACCAAGCCCTGTCTTCTATCAGCTGTAGTGGCTAATGGGATCTGTAGTCCAAGAGACTGGAAGAGAAATGACTAGGAAGAAGCCTCAGAGCCGCCTCCTCCTCGTCCTTGGAGGGTCTGTGTGGAGTCTGGTTCCTGCTCTGAGTTCTTTTACGAAGCCTCCTCTCTTGCTGTAGGGGGATTTTGCACAAGCATCCCAGAACCTGTGGACGGCCCTCAAAGCGCTTAGACGGCCCCTCCCCACCTCCAATCTGGACCTCACCTGCAGCCTCTTGTGGAACTTGATCCGGCACATCCTCCAACGTCTCTGGGTAGGGCGTTGGCTGGCTGGCCGGGCTGGTGGCTTCTTCCGAGATCAGGAGCTGAAGGCTGATGTGCGCAAGAGCGCCTGTGACGCGGCCCTGGTCTACCACCGGCTGCATCAGCTTCACATGACAGGTAAGGCCGAGGACAGGAGGTGCTGGCTTTCTCCACTGACCACACCTTGGTGTCCTCTGAGTGTTCCTTTCTTCTTCTTCTTCTTCTTCTTCTTCTTCTTCTTCTTCTTCTTCTTCTTCTTCTCCTTCTCCTTCTCCTTCTCCTTCTCCTTCTCCTTCTCCTTCTCCTTCTTCTTCTTCTTCTTCTTCTTCTCCTTCTCCTTCTCCTTCTTCTTCTTCTTCCTTCTCCTTCCTCTCCTTCCTCTTCTTCTTTTTCCCCCAGGGAAGCACGTGGCAGGCCACCTGTCCGCTATCAACATGGCGCTGAGCGCAGTCAACCTAGCCGAGTGTGCTGGCGATGCCATCTCAGTGGCCACGCTGGCTGAAGTCTACGTGGCTGCTGCCCTGCGGGTGAAGACCAGCCTCCACCACTGTTGCCACTTCCTAGCGGTCAGTGAATCTGGGTGCTCCCATCACTGGAGGTTTTGAAGAAGAGATTGGGCAGCCGTTTTATAGGGCAGAGGTGTCCAACCTTGGAAGAGGCGTGCACTTCAAAGCCCAAAACTCCCCAGCCAGCCAACATTCACTAGTGTGAAAACCGGTTGTAAGCCACCTTTTCCGGCACCATTGTAACTTCCCAAAATGAATGATTGTAAGTTATAAGTTGAGGGTTGGCTGTTGGGTGTGAGCCCCGGAATTCCCACCCCCCCAATTCCTCCCATCTCTTACACTCCCGAGCCAACCCTTCCGTGCTGTAGGAGAGCCTTGCAAATAGCCACACACCCCCCCCCCCACAGACTGACCAGGAGGTTGACCCGCCAGGCTGACGCTGCCTTTCTTGCCCGCTACAGCGATTCTTCCTCAGCAGCGCCCGGCAAGTGCTGCTATCCCACCATGGGACGGTCCCTCCTGCGCTCCAGTGGCTCTGCCACCCCGTGGGACACCGGTTCTTCGTGGACGGTGACTGGGCGGTGAAAAGCTCTCCGCGGGAAAGCATCTACAGCTCCACCAGCCACCCAGGTAGAGCGGGGTACAAGGAGCGGGGAGATGTGGGGGGCTGATCTGGCCCTGCAGGTTTGATAGGAAGCCAAAAGAGGCAGGCTAGGGACGCGGTGGCTCGGTGGCTAAGATGCTGAGCGTGTTGATCAGAAAGGTCGGCAGTTTGGCGGTTGCTAAGTGTATCAGGAGATACCTGAGCTGTCTGACAGGTCTGTTTCTCTCACCAGCAAACCCCCTGGCTCAGGTGACACAACTCTTCCGAGAACATCTGCTGGAGAAAGCTCTTTCTTGCGTCTCCAGGCTGGACAACCCAGCCCCTGCCAGCCACAGCGAGGGGTAAGGATCATACTTCTCCCAATCCTTGGACTCCAGTTGAAGAATCCTTCCCAAGAGAAGGTTGGCCTTCCTGTCCTTCAACGGGGCTCTCTTAGACATTTTCTCCAATCCAGCAATGATGGGGAGAGATTTCAAGATTGAGCTGGTATCTATAATGGTATATATGCCTTTAGTTCAGCTCAGTGGGCTAGAAGAGCAAGGACCACTTCACCCATCCTTCCAGCTCTTTCCATATCTCACCCAACCTTCTGGTGGTTTTGCAGAAGGACTTGCTGACCTAAAGGAACGAGACTCGCGGCAAGGAACCCGTATTCCCTTTTCCACTGAGGAAAGAGTCATTTCCAGAGTGGTTGACCAGGGAAGAAGCGTTCAAAGGAATATTATTGGCAGAAGAAGCCATTTTCCTCCTGGTCCTTAGATTTCTCAGCGTTTCTGAGCTGGTAGCTGAACTCACCTGACTTTTGTCTTGTCTCACTAAAGGGAATTTTCAGATGCTCTGGAGTACCTGCATTTCCTCAACAGCTGTGCGGATACTGTCCCCAACCCGACGCCTTCCATCAGTACCAACATGGACTTGGCCACAGGTGAGCCTTCCCACACCTGGGACCTCTCTGACCAGAAGTGGGGTTTGGAAAGCAATCCAGAGGTGGACTTTGGAGAACTGAAGGAAATGGAATTGGCAAGAGGAAGACTTTGGCATCGTGAGCGTGGAGGAGTTTGCAGCCAGGGATGACTGAGTGATGGTGGACAGCTCAAATGGTCAAAACTAAGGAGCAGAGTTGGCCGGTCAAGGGAGACTTCCATGTCCAAATGTGGCATACCTTGGGAATCTGTGGCTGAGAAGAACAGGGGTTCCTCTGCCAGGAGGCCCCTACAGATACAGGAAACAGCCCCCAAGGAGACTTACACCATAGTGGATTCACCCAACGGTTTGAACATAACCACAATGTACAGAGAAATATTTGCTGGGTGTATAGTTGCTAAATCTGGTGCGGCACATGGCCTAGTGGTGAAGACGCTCTCCTCCCACTTGGAAAGTTGAGCATTCAATCCTAGGTAGTGACAGATGTTTCCCTATCAGGGCACAAAGAGAATATATCTGCTGAAAACTTGGCAAAGGTGTCAGGAAGGGCATCCGGTCAGTAAACTCTCAGCTCCATTCAGTCGCCCTGACTCCACCCCAAATAAAAAGGGATTACAGGGTCGTAAAAAGAAAAAAAATGTTAGAAAACTGGACCACAGGATGTTGGTTTAGAGAAGGACTTTGAACCCAGCCCCAAGTTAGCAGTGTTTGCCAGGGTTTCAGTCGATTTTCCCCACTCAACTTGGAAATGCCATGGGTGGAGCGCTGGATCTTTTCTTTGCAGAGCAAGGGTACCAGGTCCATTTGGACTGACCCAACAAAAGGCCTTTCCGGGTCTTCCTGGGTGCCTGGGAAGGAGGAGGATCTTAGGAAGTCAGTGGCTCAGCAACCGCAAGACAAGGAGAGGATTGGGCTGCTCTTGAGCTGAGGTCAAAGGCAGATGGAGAACCTCACTGGGGGCAAGGAATTGTCCCTCTTGTCTTGGTCTTTTCAGAACCCTGATGCCCCCTTCCCCTCTCTCATCTGTAGGTACTGACCCTGTTTCCCACTGGTGGGCATCTGTGGTTGCCATGGCAATCCATGGACTGCAAGCGGACGAGGAGGCCATGGAACGCCTCTACCCTCTGGTGGAATTCATGCCCCGAGTTCTCCAGGGGTCTGAGTAAGTGCACACTGTTAAAACACCCCCGGGGGCAAGTGGGCAAGGAACAGAGAACTGGGGACCGCGGTACTCATGTACTAATAGAAGAAAGCCAAACGCTTCTTCTTGCTTTCCAGTCGGATCTACATGACTGGGCTTAATTTCTCAGACTTTGCAGAATTATTCTGTGTGGGGTGACAAAAAGGGGAAGAGAGCATTTGACCTTCCTTCTTCTGGCTTCTCTAAAGTAGCACATTTTAGATTTCTGAGCCATCTTCAGAACCTGGATGTGAGAAGCGCACCTCGCAGCTTGGGGGGATTTCCAGACCATTGTATTGTGGCTCCCGGGACAGATGTTTTCACACCTGGATGGGTTTCAAATTCATGTCTTCTTTTGCCCTGCTGCAGGAACCCTCTTCCACGTGCGGCCCTGCACACCTTCAAGGCAGCCCGGGTGCTGGGCAAAGAGGACAGCAGCCTGGGGCAGTGCGACAAAGCTGGCGAATATTTGCGAGACAGCTTGGGTGGGAACGCAACTCCCAGCGCTATCGACAGAGTACGTTGCAAGAAGTTCCAGCGTCAGTGGAACCGGTGGGCTCTCAAGTTCCAGAGGGTCTCTTGAATTGCCAAACTGGAGGGAGGAACTCTGAATGTGGCTGTTGGACTAAACCAGGGATGGGCTTCAACAAGGTGACTTGTGGGCCGATCCATAACCTTTCTCTTGGTCCATCGTCACTGTGAGTGAAGTACCAGAAAGCGGTGAATGGTTCTCATCCATCTGTTCACCAACCTCTGGCTCATCTCTGGCAAGAGCTCCATTGTCCCGGTGAATGACAGTTAGGTTTCTCAGCCGCAAATCCCAACTCTGCAGACACAGGACCTCTTACTTAGGAACGGACCTGCCTGCTATCAACATTCAGACGCAACTTAGGGCTGAGTCCTCCTCTCATTACTCCAGACCAGAAAGAAAGCATTTGTCTCATTAAAGATTTGTTGGCGGCAATATTCAGCCAGCAGTGCCTCAACGGGGAGCAGCGCTCAGGGGCTTAGATTCTGTTCCTGGGCTCCCACTGGGCGATACTCTTGGTGGGAGTGGGAGATCTTGGTTGATACACGAGAACGGCAGGTTCCCGCCTCTCCGATATCTCCCTTGCTTTCTGAGGCTGAAGGAGCTTGGAACGAGGGGAGCCCGTGGCTGGAGGAAGTGGGGGATAAAAGACAGGGGCATACAGGGTGGAGAGCCCCACCTCAGTCAGGAGATGGCGATGTGGAAGACACTGTGGCTGTGTCGGTGGTGCATTGTAGTTGCATTGCATGTGCAGGTGAAGGTGTGCAATGCCCCTCCAGTGCAGCCCTGGGGCAGCACCCATGCAGCGGAAGAGCCTGCTAAAAGATGACAGAAGCGGAAGATGGGTGCACAGAGAGAGACCCAGGTGACTTGGGGGAAGCCACCTCTTTGTGCTCTTCCACAACTTTCCTTTGTGTGTGTGTGTGTGTCTCCCTGCAGGCAGTGCAGTTCCTTTTGTGTGACCTGCTCCTGATCACTCGCACCAGGTTCTGGCAACAACAGATGCAGGGGGCTCCCCCGCACAGAGCCCGCTACCAGGCGTCCGCCCTCGAGCTACGGGGCTTTCAGCAGGACCTCAGTACTCTCCGGCGCTTGGCGCAAGCGGACCAGCCTGCCATGCACAGGGTGAATGGCGGCACCCCGGGTGTCCTTCCCTTAAAGGAGGGGAAGCCAACTTGGCCGCTGAACCCCTGAAAAGTCCTCCAGGAGGATGCGGAAGGCGGTAGAAGCTTTATGGAGCTGTGATAAAATATGGGTCAGATTTCTGGGTTGGCAAGAGGGGGGAGGGCAAAGCCACAGGGAAGGGCCCACCTGAAGGGGCTTTCCTTGAGGGTTGCTCCATTGTTGGCCGCCTTCGACCCCAAATTATGGACCAGGTTCAACACTTGGCTTGAGTTGGCTTCTGAGGTTAGGACTGTCCCAGTGGTGGAGGGAAAAGATTTCTGGGAGAGGCGGAAATGCTGTCCCATGAGAGTTAACGTCTCCACCTCTTCCTCCAGGTCTTCCTCCATGAGGCAACTGCCCGACTGATGACCCGAGCCAGCCCCACACGGACCCACCAGTTGCTTGACCGAAGTCTCCGCAGGAGAGGACCATCTACCACCAAAGGAGGTGAGCACCTGGAAACTTCGGGAGGTCTTCTGAGGGGGGGTTCGGTGGGGTCTTGAAAATGCAGCTGATCTTCAAGCCGTTGAACCAATACTTGTGCGTGCCAGAGATGCACAGAGGGAGTCTAAACTCATGTCCTGGGGTGGCCACAAGCTTCCCGTGATGTCCTCTTTCTTCCCTCCCAGCTGGTGAACAAGAGAGCCGCCCCACTGCCCGGGAACAAGCAGAAGCCTTGCAGCTGGCCTGTTCCTACCTCCCCCCTGTGTTGCTTTTGGGACCGGGCCAAAGGGGGGGCATGCTGGCCGAGGCCGCCCGCTCCCTGGAGAAGCTGGGCGACAAGTGGACTTTCCATGAATGCCAGCAGATGATTGTCCGGCTCAGCAGTGGCTCCACCGTCACTTCCAGCTAGAGATTTGGAAGATTCCTAGGAAGGAGGGTGGAGGCCTGGGGTGGCCCCACCAGTTTGGTTTGTGGCAGTGCCGGTGAAAGCGCCGAGGAGGCCTGGCAGAGCAGGGCAGTGGCGACTCTCTTTCACTCTCTCTGCTGAGGCAGCTCTGGTTCCTCAAAAGGATGCTCAGCTCTTTTCTTCTTCTGCGTCTAAAGAGACCTAGACATATGCAAGAGGGGACAACCCGGTGTGGCAGAACTGGGTGGATCTGGCTGACTTCCCGCTCCTCCCAGGAGAAGGGTGTGCACACAACTCTTGCGAGTCTCTTGGGTTTTAGACTCCCCACGATCAGGGTGCGTTTGGCAGGCAGGGTTATCTTTTGGAGACCATCCAGCCCTCCGTTTCTCACATCCCCTGTCCAGCAGATGATGGCTTTGCCCTTACCTCTTTCACGGCCAGCTCTCTTCCTCCCCAGCTACCCCAGCCGCGGCTTGACTTCCTCCCCCACGTCCATCCATATCTTCTGAGAGCCCAGCCCGGTGCGGGCAGCGGGATTTCCATCTTGGCGTTTGCTCATTTCTCCCCATCCCTTGAGGGCACGGGAGTTAATTCACGGTAACTTCTGGTGGTCTCGTGTGGTGACCTTGGATGAGCTTCAGTCATGGTGGACCTACAACCCTTTGTGGCTGAGTAACGTTCTCATCTCTTCACGTATTAATTGTTGCTGTTGGAAAGCAGTTGGCTGAAAAGAGGACAACATTTCCCCTTCCCTTAAGGCGGACTCCGGGGGGAGTGGAAGTCCACTTTTTGTGTTTAAAAAAAAAAATGGCAAAGGACACGCCATGAAAAAGCTTAATAGGATTGTTAGAAAACGTTTCTAGAAGGAAAACGGAAGTCAGACACGGTGAGAGATCTCTCTCGTTCCACCCTTTGGAAAGCCACCTGTCAAAAGCTGCAGCCCCCTTTCTTACTCTAACCTAACCTCCTTCCCCCTTCCATCCCGTACTGCAGTCTGGGGAACCCGACATAGCGGTTGATGGGAACGCCATCCAGAAGGTTAGGATCAGAGTTGGTGGAGCAGCTGGAGGGTTTCCACTGCTGCCCATCGCTTGTGGGGGATGAAGTACTCGCATCGGCGTCCCCCCCCCCGCCAACATGCACTCCTGCTCAGCCACGATTCTTTCTTCCAAAAGTTATTTTCATAGTATCAGGGGAGGGTTTTTTGTACAGATGATAAAATAAAACAGCTACTTATTTATATCTCCTTGTCTGGACATTAATTGGAGCAGAAGACAGACAGGATGGTGGGAATCACCTTGGTTGGACTCTAGGCTGATGAATTCTCACCAGCTCTACAAAAGTTGTCCTCCCCTGGATGTGTTGATTGGCAAGGTCTTTAAGGGTTGTGAAGACCATGGGGGGCCACCTCTGGTTTGGCTCATCAGACTTGTAGCCTCCCAGATGTCCAGTCCTGCTTGAGTTGGGCCAATTCTTCTCTTGTCTACTCTAAAATGTACCTACCGAGAAATCCTCTGTGCTCTGGGTTACAGCTATACACATATGGGGCAGTGAAGGTATGGGAGGGAGCGACCTGCTTTCTTCCTACCCTAGTTGAAAGCTTTCTGGGGGCATTTTCCACAGAACCATGACATTTGGGCTTGATTCAGTCCAGGAGGACTCAAGTCTACCGTGATCCCGAATGACGAAGCAACTCTCATATCTGAATTGGGCCAGTGGGGCAGATTCTTTTGGACATTTCAAAGAATTGGTTTCAACATCCAAAGGGGCTTGATGAAAAAAATGGATCGGATAGCACACAGTGGGGCAGGTCTCCAGAGCTCATGGTTTTAATGTGAAGAAGGCAATCTCATTTAATCATATGATCTGAGTGTGGCATGTTCTGTGAAGACAGCAATTGTATTTTGTTAGCGTGAAAACATCTTGAGAGAGCCAAGAGGTGTTATTGGCCAGCAGATATATGTTGAACTGACCTCACACTGGAAAAACACCTCACTCTATTTCAACAGTATAAGGTTGGCCTCACAAGAGTCCATCAAGATGGTGAAGTAGACTTTTCTGTTGAGCAATGAATGCCTTCAGACCGACTACACGGGTCACACGTGGGACTAAGGTGGTTGCATCCTTCAAGCCACAAGATGCTGGTGGAAACGGGTTGCAAACCCTGCCACCTTCTGTGGTGCTTTCTAAAATAAGTCTACATTTATCCACACACAGGACAAACGCACTGCACTGCAGAAACAGTGTCCACAAATGTTGACAGGGTTTGCACAACACGTTCTTTGGCAAGGAGAGGAGGGGTGGAACACTTTGTGGCTCCGGTTGATGTGAAAACCCAATCATTATCTTAGCAAATTATATGGTCCAGGCCATCCCAAGCCCAACTCTATTGGAAACGTCCACCAGTATTGTCCTCAATTGACGTTGAGCGGGCTTCGACCCTACTTCTACCGGCAAAGAATTCTTGAGGAATCTTGCCGTGTGCAGCTTCTGGAAAGGTGTGGTGATCTATTTCCTCTGCTTGGATCTGATCTCCCCACCCCACCCCAAGGAGATGGCTGAAAAATAGGTGATTAGGGAACTCGCCATATGTCCAAAACAATTGCTGAATCTTTATTGGTGTTCTGAATGCAATGACCTGATTTTTTTCTTTGTTTTTTTTTTAACTCTTAAGGAAAATAAACTTCTTTTAGAAACAGCTTGTTACACACAATCTTCAGTGTGAAGCAATATACTAAATAAGAACACTAGTTTTAACATTTACATCTTTCATATATATTATATATATGTATATGTATACATATATATACACTATAGAATGAGGCAATATATATAATACACACATGTTTGCCATTTTACAGTCATTATGTACAAGATTCCATTCAAAGAGAGCCGGAATTGTGGGGATGAGGACGGGGTGGGTGGGGCGGTGGGGGGGGGTGTCTCTTCCGCCTGCCGTCTGAAGGTGTGCTTCTGAAACGGGCATTCCTCTGCCAGCAAACCTGGAGGGGCACGCCGCGAGGGCGGCGTAGCGGAGACAGTGAGCGACGCGCACAGAATACCGTGTACAGAAAGGTTTACAAGCAGAGGGCAGTGCGAACTGTTGCTCTTTCACAGCGACAACCAAGAAAACCAAGCGGATGAAGGAGGACAGGGAGATTTGGCCCCATCGGACTTGATGCTGCAGAGGTGGGATGGCAGTGGGGGGAGGGGGCTCCCCCTCTTACTGGGTTGTACAACACTGTCATGAGAGCTGGGGAGGATATATACAGGTTATGCAACTCAGGTGTCCTTTGCTTGCTACCTTCCCAGGTTAATCATCAGAGCGAGTCTGATGTAGAGCTGCTCCTTCAAAGTCTTCTAGAAGCCCCCAGGAGCGAGTCCCTTCCCACCCTGACCCAACGTAGAGTTTGGCCTTGCCCAAGATTGATTTATCCATCCAATGTCTACACTGCCCACCTCACCTGAAGGACTAGGGGTGCCTTAAAAAGGACAAAAGGTTGGCTTAATAGCCAACCAGTCAAAACCTTTATAAAGTTGCTCATTTCAGGAACTCTTCAAGACAATTTTCCCTACCTTGGAGGGGATCTTGATGGTCTTTGGATGGTAATGGTTGGATGGTTCTGGATGCTGCCCCCAAGGCTCATAGTAACCAAGGGCACTGTCGGATTGAGGTAATCCCTGTGAAGTCCAGAAGGGCATCAATTAGAGTTGTTTGTTGTCCTGTGTAAGTTCTCCTCCTCCCGTTGGCCTTCAACATCAGCCCCAAAGACAAGCTCTGCCCTACTTAGCAATAATGGGGACAATAATGTCTACAGAAGCTATGCTTCTGTTTTGCTTGGGGTTCTGGCTGGGTTTGCATAATGCCCACAGCTAAATAAGTTGCTTCAAACTGCACAAGTGCCAACAACGGACATGGGTGCATGATGGCTTCTGGTGTTGTTGGAACCCCAAAGAGAGAGCCCTCATAACCGAAACTGGAGTTTCAATACCGGTTTCCACTCCTCCAAACAGAATTCCCTTTAGGTTCACACTGCACAGTAAGCTACATAATGTGGCTTGACGTGTGCTCCGTGACAGGAGTCAAGAAGGAAACGGATGAGTGTGGGTCAAGAGTGCTTCATCTTTTGTGTCATCACAACTTCAACCAAACCCAGGAAGAGATGTCTAGGGTGGTTTGCCCAGGCTACTTAGGGATTCTGGGAGCTGTAGTCATATCAAATTAGGAGAGATCCATTGTAGGAAAGCTTTGATGGGATCCAACAACTCACGAAGGCAGTGAGGGGAGCAGATGGCTGAGGACAAGAACATTCACGGCCTACTAAGGTTCCGGATAACCATAGGCATGTCAGAAGTCAGGAAGCCAGGATTAAACAAACATCACAATTGTTGTATAAGCCCATTGTACCCATTGGGCAGGGGTTGGGTTTTTTTGCCTGAAACCGAAAGTAAATGCCTGTTCCCAACCAGAAATATCATCAATTGTGGTCATGTGACCATAGGAAACTGTAAACAGATAAATGCAGGCCAACTACCAAGTGGCCCAAATATAACCAGGTAACTGGGAAAGGGATGGACATCCGAACTTCAAAACCAAGTCATAAGCAGCTCTGAGGACATTCATTGTAACTTTGAAGGGTCACTATGCAACTGGTTGTAATCTGTAATGCACAAAAACAGGTGAGCTCGCTTCAGCGGCCATCAAGATGCACGGAGCAGCCCAGCTCCTTAGTAAATCCTGCAAATCTCAGAGCACCCAGCGGCTTTTCCTCAAAACATCGCGTGCCAAGCGGCCAAGTGGGAGCGTAATAACCTCCGATTCCGTCCTCCATTTTGACTTGAGGGTGGGCAGTGAAATAATCAGAGATGATTACTCTCGGCCGAGTTTCAATGGAGCGCTTTCTGCTGTTTGTCTCTTCTCAACACAAGGACAGTGTTTCTCAACCTCAGGAACTTCAGGACGTGAGGAGTTCAATTCCCAGAATCCCCTTGCATTTCTCAACGTAGGGAATTTCGATATATGGCGACTTCCAACTTCCAGAATTCAGCGTTTCTCAAGCTTGGGGACTTCCAGGCAGGTGGACTTTAACTTCCAGAATCCTGGGAGTTGAAGCCCACCCGTCTTTTGCAGTTCCCAAGCTTCAGGGTGCTGGTCTAGGGGGGTCCCTGCCTTTCCTGGTTTGAGTGTGGGGCGCAGGGTGGGGTGTGAACCGGACATGGAGGGGGCGAGAGAAAGAAGGCAAATGACATGTTAGGCTGTAGGAGTCGGAGGGAATAAGGACAAAACAAAAACAAAAATGCGAAAACGAACTCAAGTGATGCAACCTTGTTTGCTGCCCCCCAAAAGGTTCGGGGTGCTTCTTTGTACACGTGGATCACATCTATATACAGAAAACACACATACACACGCACACACGCACACGCACACACACCATGAGGTTCGCTGAAGGCAAAAAGTTGATCAGATCAGAAAACAGAGAAGAAAGTGGACCTGGAGGCCTCCTGCAGCCCAGCCTTTGGGCCCAAGAGAAAGAGGAGGGAGCCGGGGACGTCCGAACGCTTCGCTCCTGGCGTCCGAGACCCGAGTCCGTTCTCTTGGCCGGAGACCAAGAGACCCGAGCAAATGTTCTTGGGACGTGCTGACCACCCCCTTGCCTGCCGGTCACCTCCGGCCATCCGATGTCCCTTCCAAAGTGCTCAAGACTCTCCTCCAGACGAGCCGGGTGTGGACAGGTGGGGTCAGTGGCCGAGCCGAGGGAGATGCCAGCTGGATCAGTCTTGGGTGCAGCTCCTGGGTTAGGAAGGGGAGGGAGGAGGAAGAGGAGGAGGAGGAGGAGTTTGTCTTCTCCCCTGAATCGGTTCACGAAACCCCTCCCAAGAGGAATGGAGTAACCGGGGGGGGGGGGGGGGGGGGGGTTGGGGATTTCTGTGGTGGTTCCTGCACCAATCTGGAATGGAAGAAGTCCGGAGCGGAAGAAGGGGGGCACTGCACCGGCCCGGCCTGCTTCCTGACGGGCGGGAAAGGAAGGTTCCCAGGAGCTGGACATCAGGGGCGTTGGGGGGTCTTGTGCCCGTTGGGGTCAGCTTGCAAGGAAGTTGCCGAGGCCTGAGCGAAGAGGGAGGCGAGGCTGGCCAGGTCCATTCACAGTAGAAGTACTATTGCAAAGGGGAGGGACGGGGGTGGGGGGAGGACAGGGCCCGGGGGGGGGGCACTGGGCTCCTCCTTGGACCCTTCCGTCCAGAGTTC